GCCTCGCCGCTGCCCCCCGCTCCCAGCGCCGACAGAGCCGGGCACGGGCGCTCCGCGGCTGCGAGCGCGCCCTGCGCTGAGCCCCGCGGCGGGGACGGCACAGAATCGTCAGAGATAAAAGGGAGCGCTGGAGATCACCTAGTCCGACCCCCTGCCAAGGCAGGGGCACCTGGAGCAGGTGACACAGGAACACATCCAGCTGGGGTTTGAGTGTCTCCAGAGACGCATGGAGGTCCAGCGCTCTGCCAGCCTCAGTGGGAAGTTCTACCTCATGTAGTGGTGAAACTTTTTGTGTTTCAGTTTATGGCCATTGCTTCTCATCCTGTCACTGGGGACAACTTAAAAGAGTCCGACGCCGTCCTCTTGGCACCCACCTTTGAGATACTTGTATATATTAATGAGATCCCCTTCAGTCTTTTCTGACGCCCAGAGTCTCTCCTCATAAGAGAGATGCTCCAGACCCCTAATAATCTTTGTGTCCCTTCGCTGGACCCCCTCCTGGAGCTCCTTGTCTTTCTTGTACTGCAGGGTAAATATTTGCTGTTGTGAGGAAAACAGTCTGTGAGAGACAGCATCCTGCAGGGGGCTGTGCATATGCTTAGTCCTACACACCATGTGCTAGGCTAGGCACGGGATGGGGACTGCTCTGGTTGTGAACCATCTGAATCCATCTCCTTTTTCTTTTCTTTTCTTTTCTTTTTTATTTTTTTTTTTAAGCTTTTCCTGCTATGTGCAGAAATAATTGAAAATAGTAACTCCATTCTTTTGCCCAATCCCGGTAGTACACACCCATTTTGGATTAAAATAGTCAGCCTGAGGTTAGTAGTAGGTTGCAGCCCACATATCACATACCAAATTTAAGTAAAACTCATCAGCTTAAGGCTGGTCCTCTGAAATCAATGAAGAAGAAGCCATAAGCATTCTGCTCTGGGTATGCAAGGTTCTAGAATTTTTGGAGAAGGGTTGCGCACAATAACCCTAGGAAGGCAGAAGAGCATCATCCATCAGATATTTTAAATCAGAGCCTCTCTGTTCTGCTTACAGTTTTTGAGGTTTTTGGTTTTTGTTTTTTTTTTTTTTTGGTTTTTTTTTTTTTTTTTTTTTTTTTTTTTTTTTTTTTTTTTTTTTTGGTTTTTTTTTTTTTTTTTTTTGGTTTGGTTTGGTTTGGTTTTTTTTCCCTGCACTAATTTATCAGGTAAAATTGCTAAAGGGAATTGAAGAAAATCTTGATCAGTCATTGTGAGATTACTGCCAGGTCATTAGATGCTTCCTGGCAATAAACTGTTGTGGCATTCATTATAACTCTAATTAGCTCCACACGGAGTCCTGCACTCCGTGTGGACAATAGGCTAGATGGAGATGTTTGCCCACTTCCAGAGATCCCAAATCCTAGGCCAAGGAAATGCCTGGAGCAGAGCAGTTGTTATCTCCATGGAGGAAAGCACTGAAGTATTGCTAGCAGAGTATTCACAGCCTGTCAGGAGAGAGATTATCAAAAGACAGAGATCAAAGAAGAGGCTCATCAGAGAGATGTTTTTGATTTAATTAAGCTCTTTTATTTTTCTTTTTTTTTTAGGAGAATTTAGCAGAGAAACAAAACACAGCATGTTTTTTAGACAACAAGTAAAGAACATTGCAAGGATTCTGGCTGCTTGTTGCCTTTCCACAAGAATGCCTTATACACTAAAGTATTTCAATAAGCACATGGGATACACTCCCTGATGTGGAAAAACTACAGTTTGCGCTCAGCACGTTCAGTTTAAAGCAGCTTCTAATTAGTTTTACAAATTTCAGCCAGTAATTAGTTCTACAAATTGACAGAAGATAGAAATTTTTAAGGTTTTACACCATCCCACTCCATTCTTTTACAAAGAGTGTTGTGGGTCAGGATCACCTTTCCATAGATTCTTTTGGGGGTTTTGTGATGTTTTTTAAAATTTCTGTATCTTTCATGTGTGCTATTAATCATCTGTCCCTTTCCTTTGGTCCAGATTTTGTAATCCTTGAAGTCTGGGATTTTTTTCATTACTGTATATGCGAAACATTATGCCACCTGAATTAATTTCAGCAACACACACTGGAATTACATTTTCATAGAATCATAGAATGGCTTGGGTTGGAATGGTCCTGAAAGACCATCTAGTCCCAAGCCCCACTGCCATGGGCAGGAACACCTGTCCATTTTTCAGAGAGCAATACATCTCACTGACTTCAAAGCCATATATAACTACATGCCCACTTGCTGTCTGGACTCAGTACCACCAAAATACGAGACAGTGCCCGTCTATTTGCCCAGGAAAGCAAGTCAGATTCTCATCTTTCATCCTACCTGGGGAAGTTTCTCATATACACACCAGTGCAGTGTGAGCTCTCACTAACAGAAGTTACAGCCCAGACCTCAAAAGTTTCTTGCTGAATAGAACTAATGGCTAATTAGCTAGCTACAAACAAGCAAGCTGTTTAAAACAGTAGCACAAAGATGACCCAGTGGAAGTTGTTCAGGCTGAAACAGCAGAAGAGAGGTTGTCAAGGGCAATTTTATTGTACAGTCAAAAAATATAAAGAGCCTAACATATAGTACTTGTTTAAACAAAAAGCCTATGAAAAACAAAAAACAACAAAAAAGGTATCCCCAAAAATTTTGAGTATCCCCAAAATTAGGGAGATAAGAAGAGAGAAAAACAACAAGCAAACATGTTCCGGTATTAAAAAGTTACTGATGCTCACTCTTCCAGGAACTGGCATAATCCTTGTGTTTGTCTGCATGCAAGACGCTGTGGTCAGGAAAACATTTTTGCAGAATTGGTCATGTTGCAGTGTTTTCAAATGGCTGATTAAAAATAAAGGAAAACAAATCTTTGCATCCCAGAACTTTTCTTTCTTTTTTTTCCCTTCCTTTTGTAGCATTTTATTCAATGAATAATTATAAGTTTTGAAGCAATGGTGTACCTCACTTCTTTCTAACCAGCTGTATTTTGGTTTCGGGAGGTACAAAGCCAAGTGGCTTTGGTTTTCAGCAGCCTTCCTCTAGAGCTTTCAAGTGATGGCATGGTGTCCTTCTGTGGTCTGGAGCAATGGCAGCTGGGGCTGCTGATGTCCTTCTCTTTGCCCCTACTCACATGTGTCTGCCCCACTGTGGCTCATGCTGGTAGAAGACTAGTTTAAAAGTTTTCTAGTTTTCTATGTTTAAAAGTTTTCTATGACCTCAGTCTCCTCCTCCCTAGAAGTGGTGTAATGGTATTTAGAAAGCCTGTATTGGTAGGAAACTGGATGCTTTTGAGGTTCTGGCAGTGTTTGTAAGCTTATGAAGGCATCTTACACTTCCTTCTCCTGCTTCCTTTCTCTGTGAGTGACGTAGGTAGAGAAAGATCCATCCAAGACCCTGATGTGTACCCAGATCCTGAAACTGCTGTTGTCTGTCCCAAACACTGATGAGTTACTTCCTTTCTCCCATGTTACTTCCCCTCTTGATTTCTTGGCAAGCATCTTTCTCACACAAAAATGTTATCCCCCCCCTTCACTGGCTAATTCAATCCCGACCCTCCTACTATGGGCTGCCATCCCAGCTCTTATTCCCAAGGCAGGGAACAGGAGGCAAGTTAACTCCCTGTTGCCCAGGAAGAAATGCCTCTGCATCCCTTGGATGACAGAAACGTGAAGTACAGTAATGACTGCCACCACAGAAATCTTTCTGGTGCTTGCCCAAGAAACTGCCAAAATCTCTTAAAAGGAAAGCAGCTGCTGCTGAGCAAGCTGTTCCTTGACTGGGAGGAGCAGCTTCCAGCTCCTAGATCCCATACAAAATCCAGTGTTTATGAAATGGCTAAAATTCTGGGAGATGCTATTTTTGTTTGTTTGCTTATTTGATCAAAGTAAATGTTTAGTTAATCAAAATTTTTTTATTTAAACAAAGGCTAGAAAAGGACTGCCCTGGAAAAGCATCATGAGAGTCCTGAGACATGAAAACCAGAGAAGTACAGGAATGACCCGGTGGAAATAAGAGCATGATTCTGATGTCAGCTACACAGGTCTTAAACCACTGCAATTTATTTTTTTTTAGTTTGAGAAGGGTTATTCCATTTCATTGCACATGCAAAAAGTGAATTAGGTTCTTTATAACTCACTGGTTCCAGCGTTAATACCTGGAGATTATGTAGCTGGCTGCTACTTCATTTTGTTGTAGAGTTGCTTCATGTTTTAACATCTTCTGTTTATGGCAGTTGGATGGTCCAGACACTCCCTTCTGAAGAGAAAAATCTGCTGGAAAATGTTGGAGGGGAGTAAACCTCTGCAAGATTCTACTTGCAGCTTGACTGCCGCTTGACTGCCAAGAGCTCCAAAAAGCACCATTATTGCCATTGAGTGAAACCTGGAAATTGTTTGTGCAAAGCTTAGCAGCAAGCTTCTTGTTGGACCTTGTAAGAGATGCACTGTTCCTAAAGTATTTGGGAAACATTTTGACATCTTTGGCATTAGAGATGTATGTTTGTCAAGAGGGTCAAGATTACTCACTGCTAATCCCCAAGGCAATCTCCTATCAAAGGAGTGAAAAATTATGCAAGACTTCTCATTCTTTACAAATGATGTCCCATAGCCTCAAGCTGGTGATAGTGCAACTTTTCTCCGCTGTTAGATGGGGAAAGAATTTTAAAAAAAGCTTTTTGCTTACATCAGAAAAACAGAAGCTGTGGTATAACTTGAGAACACTGCAAATACCATAGCAAATTAGGTACCAAGAAGGGACAAGAACTAGCTAAAGCAAAATATTGGCTCAATTAAAGAAGAGATCTAAATTAGCTTCAGATGGATTTAGTCTGGAAGCTAGGATTAGGGCTTTCTAAGTCTTTGAAAAGCTCAGTCAGAAAGATAAATGAAAAGTAAACTAATTTAAAGGTACAGCCTTATACAGGTAAAAAGAAATGTCTGAGAAGTCTTGGAAAGCAGAAGTCAAGACTCAGTGATCCAACAGATTATTTGTCC